CTACCTCTGTGCCATTAGTCCTGTAATTTGGCTGTCATCACACTATAAAATCTTAAAACTTTCAACCAAAGCCCTCTTCGCTGTCAACAATCCATAATCAGTTGTGCAAGTAATAGTATCATTCACATACATGAGGCAGGAAAACCTCGCTTCTTTTCTCTGTGTGCTAGTGGCAGCAACGAAACATTGTGATTAACATTGTGTCGCTACATTTATGTATATGTACGTCCAGCCTTGTTGGTACCAATTCCAATTTTGTTGTTTCAGTGCATGCTCACCTATCATTTTTCACTAAGTTATTGCTGTCAGAACCTGGTTTCTATGGAGAATTTTACACCAAAAGTAATGTTATTAAACTTGGTAGGTTTTATTTTCATTGTCAACATCGTTCTGCCAGTAGTCAAGGTTTATTTTTTCTCGGTGAATTGTGTGACATCATCAATCGCCAAACCATCCAAACATATCAACATCATGCTCTGTACCAATTTGCTTGTCTGTCAGGGTGCCAAGGTAAGGGAGATGATTTTGTAGCACAGCATACAAGTCATTCTCTCCTCTGAACACGGAACCAACACACTGTTGCTTGCAGACTCTTTGGATCCTTACTAATTGGTATTCCACAGACAGGCACTTCTTTGAAGGTAACCTCTGAGTTAGAGTGTGGGTGATCTCCATCAAATTTGATTCCTCTTGTGGATTGAAAGTTTTATGTTGTATTTTGTAGCTGTAGAGTTTGATGCAATGGCAGGTTTGTTACTTCTGTGTCTGTTGTTTGCCTGGCAATAGGGTCTGTTTAGTGCCATGTTCTGTTTGGGTTTGTTGTTTTCTGTGTGGTTCATGCTTTTCTGGGAAACATTGGTTGCGTAAGCTCGTGGGTGTTTACATCGACATTGGTATCTCGGTCAGGGTATGAAGTGGAATATTGCTGCAGTGTAGGAGTGCTCATGATCAATAGTAGTTGTTGGAGATAGTACTGTGCAGTTTGTGTGTCAATAGCAGAGGATGAACTGTTTGATAGGCATTACTTAGAAGTTGACGGATGACAAAGTAGACACAATTATGGATAGCAACTTCTTTAATACTGTAAAAAGCGACGTTTTGGTATTCATCCTTATACCGTTGTCAAACAAGACAACGGTATAAGGATCTATACCGAAACGTCACTTTTTACAGTATTAAAGAAGTTGTTATCCATAAATTGTGTCTACTTTGTAATAGCAGAGAAGTTTTAAAGTTGAATCAGCTTTTACACCCCAAGATGAAAAAGTGTGCTTGAATGTTCAGCTCATAAAATCCTGTAGACCCCTGTAGTGTCACATGTAAAAAGGTTATCATTGTCACTTCAGAAATAGCAAAGACTTATGGTGAAATATTTTTCTGTTACAATTAGATTGATGTCATGACTGCTGTATGTTAACTCAGACTACAAACTGGTTCAATGTGATTTGTTTTGTTTTGTTTGTTGTTTGGTCAGGGGAGGTGGTGGGAGAAGAATAATTTTTTCTGAAATACAAATAGATATGACCAGGACCTGATGACTAACTGACTCACATACCTAGACGATTTTGCTGTCCTTTGGTCCAGGGATATGCGGAAGAGTTTGGGGTTTGGTTGAATATGATTTCGTCCAATACCTGTTGTGTTTTGTAATCATCACCATTGATGTGCTGCTCACTGAATGGGAAAGTGAATCAATCAGTATCCACTCTGGAAACTGTGCATTTGATATATTTTCAAAGAACAATGCTATTAGTTTCAATTTCAAAAGTGGTGATATTGTTACATTGTTGAAAATGTAATGCATTCATTAACAGTGTTGCATGTATTGCTGGAAATCAATATCTGTATTAATAATGAAACTGAGATGTAAGAGGGATGCTGTTGCTAACATGCCATGTGCTGACGAGGTTACCGTGTTCCCCATAGGAAGGTGATTATTATATATATTGGGTGTTTGTCCACATGTTGTGAAGTACATGCAAGACTTAATCATAACATGTTTGACACCCATGGAAGCTGTTGATTGACCCATGTGATCTCAGTTTCAGCTCTTGATACCATACACTCGATACATTGTGTATTTGTATGTGGATGGTTGTAATTCATGTTGTATTCACCTTCTGTTAGACACATGACACAACAGTGTTTTAAATTACCATAGTCTGCCAGTCTGATTCAAGTAATATTCAGTATTCTGGTGGACTACCACTTTATTGTTTGTTTGTTTGTTGTTTAACATATTCCAGCTATATGACGCCAGACGGCGGTCTGTAAATAACCGAGTCTGGACCAGACAGTCCAGTGATTGACATCATGAGCATCGATCCGCTTGTAACCACTTTAACATGAGGGATACACAAAGTATGTGATCTAAACTACAAGTTGTCGGACTTCCATTTTGTGGAAGTCTCTCTGACTGAGTGGGTCAGGATGCTGTTTTTGTGTGCTGGAATCTAGATTTCCTAATCTGAAAGTCTGAGTTTGAATCCCAGATGGAGCAACACCAAAGAATTGTACTTCACCAAGAAAGTGTAATCTCAAATATGACATGTTACCACTCAACCATTAGGTAGACGGCATGTCTTTTGTAGTTTCATTTTTGTGAACTGAAGACAGTAAGAGATATATAACGCTGTACAAATGTGGGTCAGTTAGTGTTTACAAGATCCACTTTCTGGCAGTGGGTTAGATAACGCCAGGTCGGCACCTGGACTACTCTGTGAGTGACCTACTGTTGTCTGCTGGTGGAGCAGATCAGGTGGTTGATTGTAGTCATGGCTGGGAACACAGGCCAAGGCTGCCTCATGGAGAGATGACATGTACATACAATGTGTAATAACATACTCGTATATCCTGCCTCCAGATTATCTGCGTATAACATGCCAGTCAATTTACCATTTTTTAAATCAATTTGAGTTGCTTCCTTGAAATACTCAAGATAATGTCAAGAAAACCAATAATATAACATACTTTGCATAATTGTCCAATGTGGCTTTTTCAGCATACATACCTGTTTTTCCTTTTAAATCCTTATTTAATGATCAAATGCAGACATCACCTGCATGAGCTATACTACAGTGGACAATACACACAATGGCTGCATCTCACTTATTGCAGTGTCTCGGCTACCACTGGTGTGCGAGCGGACATGACATGGATCTTGAAATCTGCCCTTATGGAGTGACATGTTTATGTGTATTTCTATGGGAATGCCGTAATAGTGAATTTTTAAAAGGTTTACCATTGACATACTATTTCCTAGATGAATTTACATTTTGGTTGTTTATTCAGCTTGGTTTGAGTTTAGAAAAACACCAATTTCCCCTCATCTTGTTACTATACAAACTACATGGTAGTTGAAATGAAATAGAAATTGACAAAAGGGGCGGTCAGGTTAATGTATTCGCTCGTTACGCCAAATACCTGGTTTTGATTCCCGACATGAGTTTAATGTGTGAAGCCCATTTCTGGTGTCCCTCCGCGGCGTAAAACCAAACTCACTCACTCACTCCAATTGACAAAGACAAATAGCTGGGGGAAGAATATTCGGTGTCTGGACATTCATCACTTGTTTGTAAACATACAGGTCAGTGGGTTGCAACACCATGCATGGTTGTGGCCGCAGGGTAGGAAGCTCTGGGAACTGTCTAACACTGTGAGGAGCTTGGTTACTTATTGTGAGGAGCTTAGTTACTTATGGAAGTTAGGGCCTATAATGTCATGTGACATACTTAGAGCAGGTTTATTCTATAAAAATGTCTATTCATTGTTTTCAAAATGCCCAACAGACTTGACTCAAGTGGGTAAACATTGAATGCCAAAGAAAAATATTAATATACTCAATGAGAAAGATCATGTGTGAGTAAACACTCAATGGCTCAAGACGTTATCCTGAGCACTGCCCAGTCTTATGAGAAGCAGGTGCCCCTGGCCGAGTGTGGTGGGTTTCGTGTGGCTGTACTCTGGGTGTGGACACAGACTGGGCTGTCCTAATGAGACTGATATGATGGTGTGACCCAGTTCCACTGACATAATTATCAATCGTCATGCCAACACTTTTGGAAGTACTTACAAATTGATATATGTAACTTGGACCTGTGAGAAAAATGATCAATTACGATAGTGAAGTACAAACTGGTTCAGAGCGGATATTTTCCCATTTTGGGATGTTTTATTTTGATACAGTAAGAAGTAAGTCCTGTATAATTGGCTGCCTCACTGTGAGATGTAAAAGGGAAAATGAACATCGTTTGATTTCCATTCAAACCATCTCAACAACGCTGTCCCGAATATGAAAGCACGAATAGTATTAGGTATGATAATATGTTCTAACCCATTGAGGCCATATAATGGTGAGATTACCATATTGTTCTGGGTATTAGATTATATTCTGTTTAAATATCAATGGCGGACGTTTCCATTTCAAACAGAAACATCATCTGTCACTTGGAGTTTACTGTGCAGTGTATATAACATAGAAGGCTGTTCATGGTGTCGTGTTGTGCTGGACATGCCTCCATTGTTACCAATCACCAGGTGTCACTCTCACCTGATTGTTCACGTGAATGGAAGTGGGACTTACCTGGCCATTATGCTGACCTTCTTTCTCACCTGTTTCAGGTATTGGCCATATGGAAGAAAGAATGTTGTTGTTAGATGATATTTTGTTGCTTGCTGGACTTCCAACAGCTTACTGAGTCATGTCATGTTCCTTGGGATTGAAATCAGTCTGGATGCTTCATATTACCCAATTCATGAATATTCCATTCAATGAAAATATGTGTATTAATTCATATTGGGGATAGTCTAGCATGTTGAGATCTCGAGGGTTTTAAAACGAATCCTGCGATATCCTTACATAATTACTTTCTAAACTCACAATGTGGGCTGGTTCCATAATGGCCTGTTTTCCTGAAGGTCCAGCCTGTGTTATGTTGGAAATGGGATGGTGGTTGGATCCAGTGTGATAGACTTCTTACATTTTGTTTCTGTTGTTCCAGATTGCAAGATGGAGTCGCTTGTGGAGATTTATACATGAAGGGGAATGCGACACATGCACAGAGATAGTGCTCGACCCTGACCTTGATCCAAGCTCTGACCTTGACCCACGGGTCAAAAAGTTCCTAATGGACAGGTCAATACTCAAAGTCCATCTTCCTAATGGGGGATTTAACATGGTGAAATATGGCGATGCCACAGACATCAAGGTGAGTCAGTGTAATGATTGGTATTAGTCCTACTCACAAGGGAATACAGAGTTCATTAATATCGGTAGGCATCTTGTGCTTCACTGGTCAGAGGTGGTGGGGTTGCCTACTGGTTAGAGCATCCGAAGACCCGGGTTCGATTCCCCACGAGGGTACAATGTGTGAAGTCCATTTCCGGTGTCTCCTTTTTGTGATATTGGTCACTCACTTACTCACTCACTCACTCAGTAATGAAAGTCGCAAGTGATTGGTCACTCACTCACTCACTTACTCAGTAATGAAAGTCGCAAGTCATTGGTCACTCACTCACACACTCACTCACTCTCACTCAGTAATGAAAGTCGCAAGTCATGATTCTGTTGGGCAAGAAATTCTGTGGTCACCATTTGTGAAAATATGTCACAAATATTATTTTCCTAATTATCTCATTTCATGCATAACATACAAAGAATTTGAAAGCATTTATGACACTTCTGATGAACTAAGTTTTGGCTTTTGTCAAGAATGAATTATCATTAGCAATACAAGCCCAAAATATGTCCCCAAACCAGCGTCCTCAAATATAAATGGACAGATAATTATTGTGGGCATCAGTACCGCTTGGTCCTCATGGTTCCTCTGGAGGAATATACTTCATTGGGTCCAAGGAATCTGTATGGGAGTTTCTACAACTGAAAGGCAAACTAATTTCAAAACTGATAATGAAGGCAAAGAATTGAACCTTTTGCATTCATGTATATTCATAACTAGAGAAGAAGCACCTTATAACCATCTGCAGATGAAATGCCCAAACATTGGACGTTTATGTATTGAGATGTACCAAGGGAACGCAGTAGTTAAGGTTTTGCTTAGCATATTGACGAGTGGTAAATTATCTTCAGTAAAAGGTTCTTTATTGCCCAATATTCATGCCGTTTGATGATTGTTACCAACAACTTTTGTTGAAAATGTGCCTTTTCCAGAACTATTTGTAGATATTGATTCACAAGCATTATCATTATGTTGCATTGACATTCCATAAACGTGGTGATCATTGAAGTATGTACTACTCAACAGAAGTAAAGGATGACCCAATTCCATCATATTACCATGATCACTCTAGTAAGTATCTGACATTGGCCCTTTTTGTGAAAATTTCAAATATTCCAAAGGTACACCCAGACTTGCCCATACAGCACAATGTTAAAATGCCCCATGGTATTGGGGGCTTTTTTTCAAATTTAGGGCCTAAAAGCACAAGGCCTCAGCCTAGAATTATCCCTGTATTACTATATATAATCTATCATGCCATGACACATTAACTGAAGTAATATGAAAGAATGGGTGGTCCTTAACATCTTTTGAGTACTATATATGTTAGGTCAGATTGACCCTCCTGTTCAACCTTGACCTTGACCTTGACCTGTGGAACCTTCAAATGATGATTATACTGTGATGATTGTGCTGGAATAAATTGTGATGGTAGTTGCCTGTTGATGTGCTGGGAATAATGACAGAATCATGTGGCGTGGGCAAAGTCCATTAATTACATGCTATACAGCACATTAATCATACATCAATAAAGCAGGACATGGATCAGTTACCTGATAAAAGAAATTGGGCAGACGTCAGTTTCTAATTCCTGTTAATGTTCATCATTACCTATAATTTGCCATAGTTTATGGTATCAACTTCCGAAATAGGCTATCAGTAGTATCATGTGAAATAAGGATTGTTTAAGGCCACTTCAGCAGAAGTCTGTGACATGTTAATCACCATTTTTGGTGAAGCGCAAAATGGGAGCTTTGGTTGATGCTTGTACTCAGCACTGCTGATTGATGAAACACGAGACTAACTGCTGTTTGGTTGTTTCTGCTGCACATGGTGTTGATGTAAGAATACCCCTGATCCACATCAGGGGGGACCGCCTCTATGGTCTAGTGGTGGAACGTCTGCCAAGTGAGTGTCTGCCGGGAGAGGGTCTGCCCGGAGAGCGGAAGGTCAGGGGTTCGATCCCAGCTGCGTCATACCAAAAGACGTTTAAAGATGGTACTTGTTGTTACCCTACCTGGCGCTGGGCATAAATGGGCTAAAAAAAGGACTGGTCAGCTCAGAGTCATTGTACTGTGTCTGCGTGAGGTATTCATGTTAAACTGCAGCATTGGAGCCTCAGTGAGCTAGCATTATAAAATTGTTCGGACTAGTACACCTCACATCTACATTGGAGGATTTTGAGTCATGGTCGGTACCCATGTGTTATCAGACTGTCAACAATCATAATGCTAAGATCGCTTTTGCAAACGAGGTCCCCATTGACTGAAGCTGATCTTTAAGGGTCTATCCATGAGTCTTTCAGTGATTTATAAAATGTTTCTGAAGAATATAACAAGTCTGTGCATTGCACTGGTAAAATGGTAACCATTTTAATGAAGCTGATTGTAAACCATTTCGAAATGCAAAGGAGCATAACACACCTCCCACCAGTGCAAGGGCCATGTCAGGGTGCACATGTCTTGCTAATTCTGTTGCATGTTCGTTCAAGGAGGTTTTCACAAGATTTTATTCAGTTGTGCAGCCAGAATGTAACATACTGACAGGACTGACTGTAAAAGGTTTGACGAAACTGTTGATTCTCAAAACAATAAAGGTGGCAGCGATGATGGTAAATTCCCTTGTGAGAGAGTTAGAGTTGAAGAATCTCCTACATTTTTAAAGACCCAGATGTGTTTTTTGAAGCGACATTGTTGTTAGACACCCCTTGGAGCCAGTGGGTAAACAGCCTTGTACAAAGACTCCAGTGTGGTTCAGTGAGTGTATCGAGGTACCTGGTAGCTGCTGTATCTCGTCATTGGAATAATAAACCATGAACAAATGAGGGGATGGTGGAACCACAGCTTGGTACGTTGAGGCATGGAGTAAACAGTCTTCCCATCCTTCTGCTGTAGTACTTACTTCACAGTCTAGTGATGTGGGACTTGATTACTTCACATTCAAGTGCCGTAGTACTTGATTACTTCACAGTCTAGTGATGTGGGACTTGATTACTTCACATTCAAGTGATGTAGTACTTGATTACTTCACATTTAAGTGCCGTAGTACTTGATTACTTCACATTCAAGTGCCGTAGTACTTGATTTCTTCACAGTCTAGTGATGTAGTACTTGATTACTTCACATTCAAGTGCCGTAGTACTTGATTACTTCACATTCAAGTGCCGTAGTACTTGATTACTTCACATGCAAGTGATGTAGTACTTGATTACTTCACATTCAAGTGATGTAGTACTTGATTACTTCACAGTCTAGTGATGTGGGACTTGATTACTTCACATTCAAGTGATGTAGTACTTGATTACTTCACATTCAAGTGCCGTAGTAATTGATTACTTCACAGTCTAGTGATGTGGGACTTGATTACTTCACATTCAAGTGATGTTGGACTTGATTACTTCACATTCAAGTGCCGTAGTACTTGATTACTTCACAGTCTAGTGATGTGGGACTTGATTACTTCACATTCAAGTGATGTAGTACTTGATTACTTCACAGTCTAGTGATGTGGGACTTGATTACTTCACATTCAAGTGATGTAGTACTTGATTACTTCACAGTCTAGTGATGTTGGACTTGATTACTTCACATTTATGTATTTATATGCATAATTATCTTCACAAATGCACACGGCTGTATCGACAGTTGAATCCTCATTCATCAACCTTTTTAGTCTTCATGTTTATCTTATCTTATTTCTTATTTCATTTCTTCATGTTTATGGGGTGGTCAGGTAGCCTAGTGGTTAAAGTGTTCGCTTGTTGGCCAAAGACCTGTGTTCGATTCCCCACATGGGTACAATGTGTGAAGCCAATTTCTGGTGTCCCCCCCTGTGATATTGCTGAAAGCAGTGTAAAATCATACTCACTCACTCACTCACCCTTTCTGATTATGTTATCTTATTTCTTATTTCATTGCCTTTACAAGCACCTTGCTTTTAAATATATTTGATATCAGGGAAGAAAGAAATCATATTATCAATCTTGACACCATATCCTCTTGTGTCAAAAATTATATTGTGTGTCATCTATCAATACACATATAACAACAGGTTTCCACTTATCAGAAATTACCTGTGGGGATTCTGGGTCCCCTTCCAACCTATGCTGGTCGTTATGAACAGGCAACCAATTGGATTGGGTGGTCATGCTCGGTGACTTGGTCGATGGCGTGTCAATGTACTCCGATGACGTAGGTCATTGCTCAAAATATCAATGACCGAATTGTCTTGTCCAGATTGGAATATTTACAGGCCACAGTCATACAGCTGGCGTTAAACAAAAAAAATAACATGCACGCACACACGTTCACACACACCCTAATCTAATATACACAACATCAAATGGACAAAGTAATAATACACTGACAGGTCATGTCATTTATCTAGTGGCATGTTCAACAAACATTTTATCATCCAGGAAAATATAGTGATGATTTGAATGATTCATGAGATGGCTGTTCTTCTCAGTGAAGCATTGGTCGTTCAGATACCGGGTTATCTTGTAGTTTTGGCAGTAAAGGCAACAGTGGTTCTGTGCAGGAGTCAAGATGGGTGATGGTTGCTGGTTCCCAGGGGTACACTAAACAATTGGATGATACCCCAATCAATATCACTGTGACCTGAAATGACCTTGCGTGTGACACCACGGTTATTAATCTGCTACTTAAGGGAATAGGCAGGTGGTGGAAGGAGAGATTACTAAAAACACCAACGCTTGTAGATTGTTGTTTTCTTTATGGAAAAAATGGAAAATGACTGATATCCTTAAAACTAGACAGTGAAAAATGCCATTCTGTTCTTGTTTTGCCATTACAATAATGTAAATGAATATTAACATGATTAATATATATTGGTACACATGTACCCAAGGCAGTTTTCAAAATGATGAGGTGAGGTGAAATGGGGTTTAACGTCGCGTCCAAGATTATTGCACTTATAGAGCGACGTGTGTGTGTGTGTGTGTGTGTGTG